TGATCATTCTCAAAATATTTGTTTTCTATTTAAGCCCTTGGTATCTGCTCCTCATTTTTTCCCCTCCCTCCCTCATCAATCTGTGTTTTCATGACAGATCCAGAAACGTCTTCTAGACCAAACTAGGTAAGAAGGCAGATTTTAACTGCACGCCTTGCAACAAATCAAACCAAGCCATGGACATCAAGTGGCACTGTGACTCACAGTGACCCTACAGAACAGAGTGGCACTGCCCCCACAGGCTTCTCCATGTTGTAAATCTTTAGTGAAGTAGACTGTCCCATCTCTCTTCTGTGAATCAGCTGGTAGGTTCAAATCACTGACTTTTCAGTTAGTGGTTGAACACTTAACACCTCCAGGTCACCTTAATCTAGCAACAACATCCAAACCCCTGCTGGTGAGTTCAATCTCAACTCATAGTGGCTCTCTAAGGCGGAGCCCAAAAGCCAGCAACAAAGAAACAAACACAAACCCACAGAGACCCCACAGGACAGAGCAGAACTGCCCTGGGGGGGGTCTCAGAGCTGGAACGCTTCACAGGAGCAGAAAGCCTCACATTTCTCTCTCAGAGTGGCTGCTGGTTTTAAACTGTTGACCTTGCGGTTCTCAGCCCAATACGTAATCCACTAGGCTACCAAGGTTACTTTAGAGCAGAGTAGAGGCCCCCTAATTTGCTTGTCAATCATCCCTCATGTTTCCCAATATTCTTTCTGCCTATTTGGTTCATCTTCACAAACAGAAACAACGAGAGGTACACGAGGCGTCCGGGGGGGACTTCTGACTCCACCACAATCTCCATCAAAGCCCACAAAACCCAACTCACTGCCCTGGAGTCAGTTCCGGCTCATGGCAGCCCTGCAGTACAGGGTGGAACTGCCCCTCGGGGTTTCTGAGACCGTAACTCTAAGAGAGTAGAAAGCCTCGTCTTTCTCCTGAGGAGTGGCTAGTGGTTTCAAACTCTGGACTTGGAAGGTAGCAGCCCAACGTGGAACCAACAGTAACATTCTCTGATTTGAACCAGCTGACATCTTTTCAAGCCAACGTAATATATGAACAAACCACCTTTAGAAAACGTTGTATTCACAGATTCACTATCGTACAAATATAAGCAAACTGCAACAACAACAAAAACCCAAAATGACATTTTTTTATATAAATGTCACTTTCAGCCAACTTTAAGTAAGCCACCATCCATCCCATTAACACCTCTACAGAAATTCTAAAGAAGCCACTTCCTGGAACAAATCACGCTATCAGCATAGGAAAAAATTTAAAATACACAAAAGCATATCCACAGAGCTACTTGTGGTTTAGACGACCAGCTGTAGGGTAACAGTCAAACTCGGGGGTATGGAGAAGGACAGCCACGCCTCAGCTCCCACGCCAAATGCTGAACAGACAAAGGCTCTAGTTGCCTGAAATCTCTCCAGGCCAGACCAGGTTCTGCAAGGTTGGGGCTGACTGCTGTCTACATCTCCCGCAACCTGAGCGAGCTCTGGAAGTAACAGTGATGTATACAGTCTGCATCACTGGGTCACTTTGACTCAACGGCAGTACTTTTTTTGCTGGTTTTATCACTGGACAAATCACAACAAGAGTCATTCTTCAGACTGAATGGAAAAAAGTAGGGCTCGGTAATAAAGCTAAGACCACAGATGGTTTCCATTGCCAGAGGTCATGTGCCAATCTACAAAACCCACTGCTATCAATTCCAACTCACTGGAACCCTACAGAAGGCTTAGAGATTATAGATCTTTAAGAGCACAGATAGCCTCATTTTTTACCTGTGGAGAAGCTGGTGGGTTTGAACTGCTGACCTTGCAGTTATCAGCCAAATACCTAAACCAGAGCACCACCAGGGCTCCTTACCAATTCATAAGAGGGCCTCGGACACTCATTTA